AATTTGGGACACTACTGAGTTACATAACGATACAGTACAGGTTCTCATATGTCCTGAGTCTTAATTGACCTTAGAAGGCTAGGGCCAAAATGTTGGCTTTCTGTGTGGCCCTCCTTTTTCTCTGATTTTGGTCTGCAAACTTAGGTTGTTAACCATCCAGAAGACAAGCTTGAAAAATCTTAAACTCAGGTCATACAATCTGTATTTTTCTCTCACCAACTTTTAGTTATATAAGATAACAGACTCACTGTGATATTTGGTTTTAATTAGTGGATATATTTATACATATTCCAAATAAAATATTTAAGTTTCTATTATTTGAAGTAATATAAAAGATGTTAAAATACTTGTAAGTCAAATTTATTTTGAGCGGAGTGTGATTTCCTTTTTGCCATTTTTATTCAAGCTCCTTTTAGTAGTATATGGCAAGACAGACAAAATGAATTATTTTCTACTTTTAGTCAAATATAAGGTAACTGACTTGAAAGTCCCACATTTAATAACTCCAGATTATTTTTGAGGCTATCTGGAATTTATTAGTATCTGATCATTCATCTACATATATTCCACAGCTGATTTTCCTGATTAAGATTATCAAAAAAAAAAACTGGACAAAAACTGGCACTTGGGCTTTAATCCCGGTTCTATGATTAACCTGAAGGACAAGTGGGTTCCAGCTTCTTGCCTGTAAAACAAAGGTGCTCAGCAGATGGTTTCTAGGTTCTCTTTCCCTCCAATCCTTGCAGGGCCCATAAACTGTTCAAGGACTCCCTACTAGGTACCTGGACTTCGCCAACCTGTGCTTCCCTCCTGTGCATTGAGCCTGCTTTTGCAGCTGGCGTTCAATCCATTCCTAAAGGTCCAGCTCAATGGTCAATGGTTTCTTCATACCAAATCCTGGAACCTGACACTGACCCATTTTCTCCCTTGTACATCCACATGATTTGTTTAAATGTCATAAAATATCTATGTACTATCTACCTAAATATTACCAATCATCTTACCAGCTATCTAAGGATGTATACTGCCTCTTTAGCAAACTATAAACTCCTCAGAGAGAAAAAAGCTTTTATTGCTTTTATATTACACCTCAGGATGCCCAGGACAGTCACCAGCACAGAGCAGATGCTGAATAAATAGCTGTCGTTGGACAAGCGAGAACTGCCTCGCACATGTAAGAGTTTATAGTAATGCAATGGTAATGCAACATGTTGTTACCTATCTTACACCTTTTTTTAAAAAAAATAAGTCAATTAAATTTCTACCATATGCTATGTCAGAAGAACACAACATGACCTCTTAGCTAAAGCAGATAATTAAGTAAAAAACTACCACCCATGACTCTACAGTTACAACATATGACACAGTAACATATAGTGTGTAGGGCAACAAAGTATGGAGTAAGGGAAGAGCCAGTGATGTAAGTTTAAAAATGGCGGCAGGCCACAATCTAGCAAAAAATATTGGCTAGAAAACAAAAGGTCTCAAGGACCATTTCTGAGTTAGAATAAGCTGATGGGGCGCTGCGGGTTCTGGATGACCAGGAGAAACAGGTAAGCCCTCAAGGGATGAGTCTCTCAGAAATGAAATGGAGCACTGGAGGCCAGAGGGCTCAGGCTGGCCAGGAAGCCTCGTGTGAATGTCCAGGCTGGCCAGGACGACTCCAGTAGCACAAGGTCCCCTTTCCTTGCACTGCAGTTTCCCTGCCTAGAATTGCCACAGGTCACCCCTGGGTTCTAGGTTCTGGGGGCTACAACTGTAGGGCCCTCATTCAACCCCAGGAAGAGGGGTCAGGTGCCTACACCGTGGGTCCAGGCACAACTTCTGCTGGAGCCTCCTATCCCGGCTCTGCTGACACACTTGGTCATTCCCTCCTTTTGTCTTGGTCCAGTCTGTCTACCTGAGTTTCCCACCGTCTGCCTAGCAAAAGAAAATGCCTCAATTCCTCTCCTTCCTGTACTCCTTAAAGGCTCTGACACCTACCTTCCTGAGCTAGGACCGAAGGCATGTGATCAGGCTGACGTACTACTCAGTCGATGATCTGCATTCTCCCTTTTCACAGAGAACTCGGCAAGCATCTGACTGACCACTTTAAGGAAACCCAAGAGTAGTAACAGTCTCGACAGGCCGCACCCCTATGTGCGCCCTCAGGAGGCTCCCCAGTGCTGCCCTCACGGGAGCACGACCTCAGCACTGGAGGCAGGCAGTGATGCACGTGTGCAGGACAGGAACTTCTCAGCCTATTTTCGGCCTATTCTAGCATCTCAGTTGTGGAAATGGGAAGTTAACAAAATGAAATAGGATCTTATTTCTAAGGTTGGTTTTGGGTCAAGCTCAACATAACATTATAAAAACAAAGACATATTTAAAGTTACAGGCTGTCCAAACCTTAGTACATTTCCTATTTATTTATTATAAAAGTGCTTAATACATTTATTCTTTTGGCTAGCCTTTAGCAAATTACTACTTAAAAAATCACTGTAAAATATTGTTAGACTTATAATATTGCTGCAACAATTTGAATTTAATTTTAAATATTTTATAACCTGAGTTCACCAGATGGAATTAAAAGAGAACAAGTCAATAGAGTATTACGAAGTACAGCTATTTCAACTGTAATTAAAAAAAGCAACTTTATAATTTAAAACTTTTATATGTTAATATTATCTCACCACTTCTATAATATCACAAATAAAAAAGGTAGATGCAAACAGGAGTTGTGTAATTAGTGTTACCACCGATCAATCCCGAAAAGAACAGGCAGGGAACCAAGGGGCATTGAGCAATTCTTATGCCAAACACAGCCATGAATGCTATACAGGTTTCTGGTGTGTTTAGGAAGCTTTAATGCAACCCTGAGAATGTGGCCAGGCTCATACTCCACTAAGTACAGCACTCTGCCCCTGGCTGTTACGTTAGCACCTATATGGAAACTGCTACCCAACCTCAAGATGTCCCTGACAAAAAGCTTATGAAGTGATATTGCATCACTACCATGGAAACCACTGAAATATCTAAGAAGGTAATCATACTAGATTTTGATTAATGATGCAGATCTGGGCTTCTGTAGGTGGGTTAAGCTTTAAAAGCATTCTAAATATCAGCGACTTCTTTTGTCTTCTTCCCCTGAAATTTAGTGTCAAGAACTGGGTAAGGACCAGGGATATACCTCAGCGGCACAGAGTCTGCCTGACAAGTGCAAGGTCCAGAGTTCGATTCCCAGTAACCAAACAACTCCACTATATCTTGACCCCATTTATCTTGAAGAACTAACTAGATAGTTCAGCTCACAGCATGGAAAAACATGCCAAACATCTCTACTTCTAGCTCCTTTTCCTATTTTCTTTCTACTCCTCTTTTCCCAAAGATAATCCTGGCAGAAACTTCCTGTGTAGATGCCCCCACCCCTGATGTTCTAGTGGGCTGGATGAAGACAAGGGATACTCATGTTTGGTAACCCCTGCAGCACCCAGCAACGTGTCCCTGCAGACTTAACAAATACACTTGAGCTTGGCCTTCCTACTTTCTGTAGGATGTGTGCCACTCTCTGTAGTCTGTCTGTAGTATTCAGTGAGCAATCCCTTGTATTTCTTTTGTTACCATGGACTCTAAGATGGAAACAGCAGAGAATACTGGGCATCCATTGCAATGTGTGGATAAGTCACAGGAACCTGAGAAGCAGGCAAAAAATAACTTTGCTTTTTAAAGATAGTGAACTGGTGTGGTGTGACGCTTAAATCATCATATACTTCTGGTTTGTACTTTCAGACTTATTCTTCCAAAGAGCAAAGAAGCATTTCCCACATGTATTCTTCAGAAGTTTTGGAGTTTGGAAGTGGCAGCTCATTGGTCTGGTCAATGTGTGAAGCAGGAACCACTACATCCACTGCCCTCTTAGCATGCACTGTGCCAGCACATAAAAGGTCCCAAGAAGTCTGCAGTGATGGCACCTGCTCAGTTTTCTTCATGCCAACATTCTCCCAATAATTTCATGATGGAACCTTTTCCCCATGTAATATATACTAATACTGTAAGAAACCAAAGTTCCTCAGCAAACAACATTGGCAATGCTGGCCTGATGCATCTTATTTCCCTTGCATTGCATAAATTGTTCTAAATTGCAGCTTTCAGACTAATTTATAAAAGTCAAAAATTTTTCTGTTACAGTAGTGATGACAATCTTGTTTTGTCCCTGAGCACAGCAAGCCCGTCAGAGAAACTCAAATGTTACATGGCCTTAGCATGCGCTTTCCTAGTGCAGGAGCTGGTGACGCCCCTGTGCACCCTGGGTGGTAAATGCTGACAGCCTGGACTATTTGGGAAGGGAGTACTCTGTACCACCCTTGGCCCTGCCAGGCTACAGAGTCACCCACAAGTCGGCAACGGCCTGTTCTGACCAGTTCAACCACACCAGCACTCTCCCCTAGCATTAGGAAAATCACAAAGAACAAGATGCATGTAAGAAAACACAAGATAAATCTTATGCACAAAAATGTCACACAGATGTCCTGAGGACTCAGGCATTAATATTAAGCTAATTACCAACACAGGTGTCTCAGAAAAGTCGTTGTGAGGAAGGAAACCATCACATAGTAGGGTCACATGACAGAAGCACCTGTCCCTTATGGCATTCTGAAAATTTTTTTTGTGCTAATTTTTTTACCTTTACCACTTTGAGAAACAAAAACAAAACAAATCCATGGCTGGTTATAAGAAAAGATAAAAATTTCTTTATTACATATGAATGGAAATTAGGTTTTCCTTTAGAAATCAATTCAAATATAGTTCTTGACAAACTAATCAATGTTTAATCTTACTTAAGCAATCGTCATTGAATCTTGCTTTCTCTAACAATAACAAATAACTAAACTCTTTGAAGTGCAGCAAGGTCAGGAGAATTATTTTTCCAACACAGGTATGCACAGCATGAACCAGGACAGCATACTTTTAAGAGAGCTCCTGAGTACGAATGAGTACATGAAAAGCCAAACACGACTCACCATGTCATAAGTTGTCACGATTTTCTTCAGAACCTCTGGCACAATTCCCTGCAGCTCCATTGTGGGATACGACTCGCTGAGGTTCAAGACCACCAGGGGTGTGTTATCAGGCCCCAGGAAGCGGGGAGATACTGCCAATACGCACTGCATGAGATTGGCCACTGAGGAGAGGCCACACAGCTCCTTGAATGACACCACTGCGTTCTGTCAAATTGGAAATAAAGGAAGCACTTGGTAATTAACCAGGAGTTCTAATGTCTCAAGGACATCAAATATACTTGCTATACTTGCTATGCTGGAACTGTCTGGTACAACAGTTATTGAAATGCTACAACAGAATTGGCTTATGATTATCTTAACCTTGCAAAAAATTATTTTCTAAAGTAAATAATTATAAGTATTTGTAATACCAATTAATCACAAGTACTGAAAATGCAAGTAAGTAAAATTCTTACAAAGGACAAGGCCTCCTTTCAGAGCAAAGTTCATGGTAGAATCAATGCTGACATGCAACTATAAGTAAACCAAAAGAATGGTGGCTCCATTCCAAAAAACTAAAGATGGAAGAAAAAAAACCAAAATTAGGTTTAAGATAACTATCAAATATGCTAGTCATCCTAAAAGGAGACAGGTATTTGTAAGGAAGAAATGAGTCTCTGTCATTGATTCATGCTACTGGTTCCAAACCTAGAGGACTTCTGAGGACACTGCGGTTCCAGGGTGAGTCCGCCCAGGGGGCCGTGCTTCCCGGTGGCCTTCCTCTGTTCGCATCTGCACTGAGCTCAATGGTTCCCTTGCTCTTTAGTCTGTCAGAAGTATGCCATTAAAATTAAAGAAAATACTCAAGGGAATGAAATTCCTTGAGCTGGCAATCCTCGTGTACTTAGCACATGCCAAGTGGTACTAGGCATATTTGTTACACAGGACTTTATTTAACCCTCTCAACAGCTTTGTTATGGAAGAGGAAATTGAGGATTAGATGTAATCTTTTTGAGTCCCTACTGAAAGAATTATGTATAGAAATAAATTACTATGGCAAGCACAGGGACCAGGGTTCGATCCCTGTCCTGCATGCTGAGCTGGTGCCGCCCCCAGGGCATGCTGAGCCTGAGTGAGTCCAGGGTTGGTGCGCACACCTGTAATTCCAGCACTGGGTAGGCTGAACACAGGAGGATCACTATGAGTCTGAGCTGCGTAGCAAGACCCTGTACCAAATACATAAATGAAAAATAAATAAATAACTGAAATATCTAAAATGTAGTCTCCCCATCACTTATCACACTTCCTTGCTTTATTTTTGTCAGAGCGTTTACCTGAATCTGCAGCTGTCCTATTTGGTTATTTCTCCTCTGCTGCTATTTTTGGCTTCCCATGGACCCCTGCCAACTACTGCACCAGCCCTGGAGGGCAGGCACACCGTCCATCTGTTTGGTCACTGCCGCACACTTGTGGCCAGACTGCCTGCGTGCGGGAGGCGCTCATTAAGCTCCACCACCCATTGCTTGCCTGGATTCAAGGCAGACGTGGGGTCTAGAAATGATCATGCTCGGCCTCTGGTAGGTCCTCGGGGAATTCTAGTCACATTCATATCAGCAGTCACCAAGAAGAGGTGATGTGGCTTGTTTACATTGAGAGTTTACCAAACTACTTGTACCCACAGAAATGGGAAACCCTCTTACATTTCAGTTACGCTTTTATCCTGAGAGAAAGAAAATAATGTCCCTACTATGGGGAGGTCTTTTTTTTTTTTAAATGTATTTGGTTGTTCCAGGGTCTCACTACACAGCTCAGCTCATAGTGATCCTCCTGTTCTCAGCCTCTCCAGCGCTGGGATTACAGGTATACACCACTATGCCCAGACTCTGGAAGGTTTTTTTCTTTTAATCCGTGAGGTAGACATACAATTGGTACATAAGCAAAATATGTTAAAAATATGTTTTCTGACCAGATTTTACTGTTAAAAGAGTCATTTTTTAAATAGTCAGTTAAAAATAAACAACATATTTGCCCCCAGGGCACGCTGAGCTGTGGTGCACGCCTGTAATCCCAGTGCTGGGGAGACTGAAAACAGAAGGATCACTATGAGTCCAAGCTTTGCAATGAGATCCTGTGCCAAATACATAAAATGAAATAAACGAACAAATATAATATGTATATAGACAGATGGATACAGATATATCACAGAGTATTCACATACTGAGATGGGTCCAGTTCTGCACCCCTCATGGGCCTAATACATGGCGAAGTGCATGGATGATCTTACATAAATACACAGTATCTAACTGTTTTGACCTACTATACATTTCAGAGATCATTTCAGACTCTCATAAACACAGATGCCACATGTATTCACTGTAAAAATTAGCTCTTCAAAAGAAAGATCAACATACAAACATACTGGCTCATTTAAGGACCTACTCTCTTACTAGCACTACAGCTACTTAAGCAAGGTCTGGAATATGTTCCCTTTACTTCAATCAATATCCTTTTTGTTTTGAATAGTTATCAATTTATGTTCCAGCTAAAGAATATTCATAACATCAGAGATTCCCTTGTATATTACTAAGAAAAATGGTGAACTGTTAGTCATTAACAGGAACTATAATGAGCAATATATAAGGCAAAACTAGTTTATTCTAAAAAACAATCAAAATTTTCCACTGCTGCAGTTCTAGAAATTTAAATAAGAAATATGACTAGTGGTAAACGTTCAATAGCCAGTTGGAAACTACAAATTATTCAGTTATATAAATCACTGTTTAAAACTAAAAAACTTCCAATATATTCATAAATATGGACAGGGACTAAGTAAAAAAACTGTTGAGTAACACTTAACCACAAACATGTACCTGCATGTTCTCTCTCAGGTCTGTGGCATCCCGAATCAGGGGCTGGGCATTCTTGAACACTTCATCCACAGTTTTAATCCACAATGTTCTCAAAGATGCATACTCCCTGGATTTCTTCCCTTTTCGCACAGAAAGGCCCCTCTTATGAGGCTTTCCTCCTCCTCTTCGGTTAGTAATAGCCACATGGACAAACAAAGAAGCGTGTGCGAGAACTTCTCCCGTCAAAGACTGCAGGGGGACGTGGCGGTAGCCTGTCTGCAAACACTCAAAGGGGATCGTGTACTGACCGATAAATTCATCCCCAATGTAATCGTCATCGAGCACTACAAAGCGCACCATGGCCAGCTCAGGCAGATTGATTTGAAATTCAAAGCTTTCATCAAAAATGGGGGCATCTCCGTTCTGGTGCACTGTTTTTGTCCTCTGTTCTGCACAGTCAGCAGGGATCCCGTGGATTTCCACATAGATGTAGGGATCCACCACGTCGCCTTTGGCTCCCGAGCCTTTGGGCTTGGGAAAGTTCTGCCCACTGATGATTTTGATGTGAAGAAGCTGAGGTGAGACTCCGGGGACAGAGTCTTTTGTATTGGCACTGAAAAAAGAGACTTCCTCCCTCATGATGGCGGGCCGAAGGACATAGCCACAGTTTCCATTCTGCCTAAACCAGCCAATATTGAGGTCCATCATAAGCCCTGGTGTCTGGAAGTTCATGGCCACAATCTGACAGCCACATTTCCAAAAATCTTGAGGGTTCATGTTACTAGAGTCAATTCTCATTGGACTAGGAAAGACCCGAGCAAGAAAACGCTTGTTGTAATTCACAAAGTCTCCTGGATTTTCATTGGCATATTTGCTGGCTAGCACTTCATTAAAGGAGCAGACTTCCCAGTACTTCTGGACCTGAAATGACACCTGAAATTCCTTGAACTGAACTGACTTACAGATGCTGACCAGTTCAGAGAGTTCTTTGCAAAGCTGAAATCGCTTCACGGGCACACTGTTGGGCTGCTCCACATTCTCTTTTCCCATCCTCTGAGACATTTCTGCTCCTTCATCCTCATCAGTGACATCTCCTTCTACTCCAGAGCAATTGGAGGATAGCTTCTTTGCTTTAATTAGTATTTTCCCTTTCAGGACATCCGGGGATGGCAGATAAGATTCCTCAACATTGGGTGATGTTGTATAGAGCTTGTCTCCTAAAATTTTCTTCATGTGTTGAACCATTACTTTTTGTTGTTTGATAGAACAGTGATTTTCTAAGCATAAGATTAAAGGATACTCTGAAGCAAAGAATGCATACTTATTAATAATATCAATGACACTGCGGAAGACTATCTGAGAGGTCATGGTGTGGCCTGTGTAGATTACAGGTTCATTATCTGGCCCATCCCATACATCCAATTCAACACTCCGGCAACCCATTTTAAGAGCTCGGATATATCCTGTGATGTCAGAAGGACCTCGGAACTGATCCTCTATTAAGTATGTGTTGTGAGATGAGTTTATAAAGTAATGAGAAAGAGGTTGTTTCATATCCTGACAAACTTTCTTATGTTCTGGATCAAATATGTAACAGTCAGGTGACATAAGGTAGTTAGTGAATCCATCTATGGACAGCCAGCCCTTTTCCTGGCCTTCCTTGGATGGCTCATATTTGTGAATAATTTCAAGGCTTATCTCCTCATTTATATGTGCCACACCCTGTTCTGCCTCCAGAAACATCATAAGATCCTTAGTATCAAGGAATTCTTTATTGCTTGAAAACTGAACTAAAAGGAAATAAATTTCAGGTCTAGTACAAAGCTCATGGAAAACTTCAATAAATTCTTCCTTTGTGACTTCTGTACCAGCTTTGTCCTTGGATTTATGCAATTCTTTGAACTTAAGCTCAATTTTGCTTATTTTCAAACCAGGATTGAGGTTTCTGATACACTGCACAGCATTACACAGAGTTATATGTCCAATACTATCTACATCAATTTCACTAAACATTTGTGAAACCCAAGAAGTCCTCATGTTGTCTTGGCTACTTTCTAACATATCGAGCGTATGTTTTCCATAAGAAATTAGGTACCGAAGTCCTGTAACCCAGATGTTTGCAATATCTGCAGAGTTGGCAACCAAATCAAGTGACTCGTAATTCTCTCCATATATGACTGAAAATGCACAATCTTCAGATATCTGGTCTGAAATGCCATTGCTACGAAATATGTCTGTATTCTTTCCTGTTCTCACTTCCTTGATGGATTTAATATCAATCTTGGCTTTCTCAGAATCCTTCTTAGATGGCTCCCACCTCAGGCTTTGCATGTCAGCATCTAGTAAAAAATACCTATGGTATATTCTAGAGTTGGAGCGGACCTTTTTGAGTTCTGAACCCTCCACCATTGAGTTGATACAGTCACTAGCACTGCTGATCTTCTTCTCCGTAGGCATACTGCTGAAAGACACCGTCTTCTTCCGCTCCCTTTTCTGTTTTGTGCCATCCTGGGAGAAAACAGAATAGTTATTAAAATAGCACAAGCATAGGTATTTAGGACTCGTAATTAAAGTTTAATTTCCCTGGGAAAAAAACTATATTGAGGATTTTCTATTCTGGATCTTACAATGAATGACGTTCATTTCTAAAGCTCAGAACTGGCCCTGGAGTTTATAGCCTTACTAATAGGTAAGAATTCACTGAGTAATTACAACTCATGTTTGTCAGTGAGCACAATTTTGGTGATATACGATTAAATCTTATGTAGATAACTGGCTACATAATTTTTAGGGTCCAGGAAAAATGAAAATATGGGACTCCTTTGTCAAAAATTACTAATATTTTTAAGAAGACAATAGATTAAGAGTATTAAATCAGGCCCAAGTCCCTTGAATGTAGGGGCTTGCGCAGCTACACACATGACACACCTATAAAGGCAGGTCTTGTGTATGTGTGTGTGTATATATATATAATATCACAATCAGTTTTTCTTTTTTTAAATAAATATTTCATTTTATTTTATTTATTAACCATGAGGTCCAAGAAAATGCAGGTTCACAGAAACTCAAAACAATACCAAAATGTGCAACAGTGTTTCTAAAGGCTTGACACCAGACCATTTGCCTCACAATCTCCTGGGTTATCTGATTAAAACACATGTTCCCAGGCCCATGAAATATCTCTAAAAGTAGTGTGAGTGGCTGGCATTTCAGACAGCCCCGCACTAGTGGGGAAGTATGCTAAGATCCTGAAAAGCATTTCCTCGCCACTCGAGCTCACTGAGACGTCCGTGCTACTTCTAGACTATGTACCAAGTGACTAGAAACCACTGTGTATGAACTGTGAAAGTGTGTGCTAAACAGACAGACGCTGGAGTTCTAGCAGAAACCATTCCTCTTCAGTCTCACAGTAGATTAGTCCTGGTCCTAAACACTTCAAATACAGATTGGCTTTACTGCTGTAATTGTATTAGGGATGAGAGTGACGTCTACACAGTAAGGGTTTTACTGAAATTATATAAGTTGGATTTATTAAACCGTTGCTGCATATACCAGGTTGATACTGAGTGCCTTCAATATAAAGGGATTAATAACACTACGCAAGTGAAAAACTTCAGGTAGCATCTGTTTCTGAAGAAGTCTGCATTACCACTGCTGTCCTCCTCTGTTCTGCAGAATGTAACCTGAAGGGCTGACAAACATATCTCCATGTGTATTTAGAACCTTCCTTCTAAAGACAGCTTTATTATTTAAAAATGCTATAATGACATCAAAATATCTTTGACAGGGGCCAGGGAGATGGCTCAGTGGAATAAGCGCTTCCCCGGCAAGTGCCAGGTCCTGAGTTCAATCCCCAGTTCCAAAAAAAAAAAAATCTTTGTTAACTTAAAACACAGTATTACCTCTGAAATAGTTTTAAAAACCTCTGCTAAGTCACTGTGTTTATAAGTAAAGAACACAGATAGGTATTTAGTATTATATAACTTTCATGGTAATAAAGAGAATTAAAAATATTATACTAAAGCAACTGTGATTTTTTTGCTCTGGATACAATTTACTTAGGATAAAAATCTTAATATCTGTCTGCAAAAGGTAAGTAAACCCAAACTTTAATCAGACGAGTATCATTCTCTTCAAAATTTCAAATGGTCTCAACCATCCAGCAGAAAAGTATAAAAACAAGGTATAAAAAGTAAAGCCATATTAATATGCTGAGTTGTAAAAGGCTCAAGTCAACAACTTCTGACATTGCCAGGCCTACGGCACTATTAACCCACTACTATTATGTGCTGGACAATTATATTGGATTATTTTTCTGAATTTATGCACCTACAATATTTAAGTAGCAATGGAATACCCATCTCTGACAAATCTAAACAAAAAAAGGGGATACAAATGAAGGACCATTTTGTATCTCTATATAGAAAATAGTTAAGATAGATATACAGCTACTTTCTCTTAATTCGATGTGAAGAAAGATTTGTACTAATAGTGTTTGAACAGGATATCATGTCTGCATCTTGTACTATGAATAACCACTACAAAGGCAACAATATGCAATGTATTAACTACTGAAACTGTCCTACTAATCAGTTTTGAAACTCATTATATTTGTTTCTCAATATAATTAATTTTAAAAATTTCAAAATGGAACACAGACTTTTGTGATCTGAGTGCCAAATAAAGCATAGAAGTCAGCAGAGTGCTTCTTCATAACTGTATTAATGTGATAAACAGGTAAAAACTATCATAATTGCATCTGTAAGATACTGTATTTAGAGCTGTCCCTAAAGCACAGATTGTATTCCATTGATTCAAGCTTCTTGAAATTAAATTTGTGATTAAGCACACCATGTTTTTCAGAATGTCTTTACTTCTAAAAACACATACCTACTTTTAATAAAGACAATGTTTTAACTCCCTAAGGGAATTTCATAATCTTTACTATTATCTCAACATGCCACTGCTAAAATAGAGTCACAGAATTAAATGGATGTTAGGCTATGATCCATTAGAAATATACATTTTTTAGCATTACAATCCTTTATTCTGTCATTTCATATGCTGATTAATATTCTAGTACTGTTTTCTAATTTGTTTCAAACGTTACATTTCAAATTCCTAGATTTGTTATTGAGAGGCAAAAGGCCAAATAGCCTTCACAGTAGGTTAATAGCATATACACAACACACACGCACTTTGGAACGGGCAGCAGCTTCTATCACCCTGGCCTCACACACACTGCCTTCCTTTTCACAAGGCAGCCCACGCTGTGGTAATTTCTGGTCACTGACTGCAGACACACACACAAGCACTGGCAAATGGAGGGACAGTGGGGACAGTGTGTGCCAGAAACTCATCCCCACCCCAACCCCATGATTCTGTTGTTGTCTGGAACTGTCCCATCCTCTCCACAGCGCACCAAGGCCTGGATGAAAAGATCTGTTTTTCCTTCTCCCTTGGAAGATAAAGCCACAAGAAGCAAAGGTGGGGGAGTGCACTTGATTAGAGATGAACGAGGAGTGCGGGTGTGAGCTCCTACTCCTCTCTCTGGACCAGCAGAACTTTGGCTGGGACCAACAAGGGGGTTACCAGGGGAAGCGCCCACAATGAGGAGCAAAGGAAGGGAGGACAGAGGCACCTGTGTGGCGAGGAGGCAGCGTTATGGCTTCACGGCAGGGCTATGGGTCCCAAACTATGTAATTTTTGGAAACCTGACCCCACTTTTACTCATTCCAACCTGGTTTTCATTCCTCAGCCTCTGGTGATCAAGCATCCGCCTAAGCTAAGCAGCTGGTCAGCAGCAGAGCTGCAGTCTACTTTCTGTGTTGCCTGATAATTAAGTTTAAATTCAATACAGAAAAGTATTCAAACTGTATGCTCTATGCATTCACGCTTATTTTTTCCAACTAAAAAGAAAATTTAATTCATGCATGTCACATGCATGAATCATCTAAAACTGGAGGTATCTCAACATACTTTTTAAACAAAATGTGGTCCTCTGGTATAATCCTGCTGCTCTGGAATAATCCAGTGGTCCTCTGGTATAATCCTGCTGCTCTGGAACTAACAGTAAGAGACAGAACATACATACAAATACACTAAAACCTCAGGATGGAAGAAAGCCATATTCAAAAAAAAAAAAAAAAAAGCTCCTACCAACCTTGAAGTTTCATCTTTCTTAGTTTTTGTTCTATTTTGGTTTGGTTTGGTTTTATTTAAGACAGGGTCTCACTATGTAGTTCAAGCAGGCCTGGAATTCATGGTAGGCCTCAAGATCCTAAGAAATCCTGAGGACTGAAGCCACATGCCTGCTGGGATTACAGGAATGTGCCACCACACCAAGGAAAATTTTGTCTTCTGGATTAAAAATAATCATGAAACTTAGAGCTGGAAAGAAGCTTAATGATTCATACTCAATATACATTAGTCAACAGTTATTTACAGAATAACAATTTTATGCCAGGAATGATTTTGCAATCCAATGCTCTACCACTGAGCTATACCCCCAGCCAGGAATACTTTTGGATGCACAATAAGCTAGGAAAGGACTCAGAAAGCTTTCTGCATCACAGCAGATTCAAGAAGGATAAAAATGTTTATAGGACTCATATTTAGCACTAGAGGTAGAAATAATCGTAGCATGCACTATGAGAAATAAATGTATTTCTAGGGCTGGGGAGATCACTCAGCGACATAAGCACCTGTCTGGCAAGCACAAGGTCCAGAGTTTGAGCTCTGCTGTCACATGCCATGTGGTGTCACACACCTGTAATCCCTGGCACTGGGGAGGCTGAGACAGGAGGTTAACTACAAATCCGAGCTGTGTAGCAAGACCCTGTATCCAATAAATAAATAAATAAATAAATAATTTAAAAACATATTTCTAACAAAGCTACTTGTTTAATAGAAGGGTTATCACTTGTTATGACTTTATCTAGATCTCCCCCACACCTTAGGTGTTCACAGGTGGGGCTTTTCTGAGCTGGCTGAATCCTAGGCATGTGACACTGGGATTAAGTGTATATGACACTAAATTAGTTTGCTGATTGGAATTAGCATGGGTTTAGGTGTGGATAATGGGAAAGTCCACTCTGCTTGTGTTTGGCTCCAATCAAAAGGCTTATACCCTAGATAAGCATATAAAGGGAGAGCAGGCAGGAGGCTGCTGCTGCTTGCTACCTTGTTACCTGTTACCTTCTGCCTGCCACACCATGAACTGTTTCTCTTCTGTGATGTGCCTCTGCTATGCCAGCCTGCTTCAGACCCAGCTGACTATGGACTGAAACTTTTACGAACTATGAGATAAATAAATCTTTCCTCCTGTAATCTGTGGGTGTTGGGCATTTTGTCACAGTAATAAGAAAACGAAGACATCACTGAAAACAAAAGGCCAGTTAGGAACTTTAGTAGTAAGTGATTCAACAAATGGGCATAGACAATTTCATATATTCTCATCCTGAAATGAGGCCACAATGGGTAAGTCTCATTTCTTCTACTGGCAACAA